TAGTGATGAAACTTTAAATATTTATTCTCATATCAAATGGTGGGAATCATATATTTCAGCACAAATGATAATAGTGATGCTAGAGACATATCTATAAAGGGTTTGGAGTACTCTATACTAGAAAAGATTGATACTTATATAAACATTTAAAAAATTACAAATCTATTATATTATTTAGCATTTTACTATACAAACATAAATACAAAAAAAAAATATGTTTCTTTGTAATGGTGCATTGTCCTTTTAGTTTAAAACAATGTGGTACAATAAGTTTTAGATAATGTAGTCTTATAGATCAACTGCTCATGCGAAATAGGTGGATGAAAACTAGATACCTTGACATCCAGGACCATATACTCCTTAACTGAGAAGCAATGTGTGTAGATATTAAAAAAAAAAAAATTTTGAATCTATTATATTCATAATCTCTTTATTAGAAGTTTTCTATTTGTTTGTTCATGTATACCTATTTTTCATTCATCCTAACATTCATGGATATAATGTACTATCACTTAATTATTATTCTCAGCCAAAGTTTTTTAAATTTGACTATTAAAAAAGAAGTAATGATATCTCATTTCAAAACTTTTATATTTGAGACAATAAGCAACCGTTCCTATAAACTGGTAATGTTTTAGGGGTGTTTGTTTCGGTGGTAGAAAAAAAAGTTTTTGGGAATGTGAGGTTGAAATTTTTTTTTGTTTGATTTGTGGGAAAGAAATAAATTCATTGGAATAAATAATACTCCAAAATATAAATTAGTCCTGAAATTTTAAATATTTATTCTCATATCAAAGGGTGGGAATCATATATTTCAGCACAAATGATAATAGTGATGCTAGAGACATATCTATAAAGGGTTTGAAGTATTCTATACCAGAAAAGATTGATACTTATATAAACGTTTAAAGAAATTACAAATCTGTTATATTATTTAGCATTTTACTATACAAACATAAATACAAAAAAAATATGTTATTTTGTAATGATGTATTGTTCTTTTAGTTTAAAACAATTTGGTACAATTAGTTTTGGACAATATAGTCTTATAGATCAACTGCTCATGTGAAATAGGTGGAGTAAAATTAGATACCTTGACATCCAGGAGCATATACTCCTCAACCGAGAAGCAATGTGTGTAGATATTAAAAAAGAAATATTTTGAATCTATTATATTCATAATCTCTTTATTAGAAGTTTTCCATTTGTTTGTTCATGTATACCTATTTTTCATTCATCCTAACATTCATAGATATAATGTACTATCACTTAATTATTATTCTCAACCAAAGTTTTTCAAATTTAACTATTAAAAAAGAAGTAATGATATCTCATTTCAAAACTTTTATATTTGAGACAATAAGCAACCGTTCCTATAAACTGGTAATGTTTTAGGGTGTGTTTGTTTTGGTGCTAGAAAAAAAAGTTTTTGGGAATGTGACGTTGAAATTTTTTTTTTATTTGATCGGTGGAAAAGAAAAAAAAATCTTTGGAATAAATAATACCTAGAAATATAAATTACTCATAAAATTTTGAATATTTATTTTCATATCAATCGGTGAGAGTTATATATTTTAATGGAAATAAAAAATAACCAACTATAACTATCCACTTTGTGTTATTTCAATATATTATTTCATATTTTTAAAATTTAAAAATTACGAATAAACCAAAATTTAGAAATATTCTTGAAAACCTTAATTGTTTACCAAGCAAATTGATGAGAAAAACACTGCATTAACATTCCTAGGAACAATGGTGGTGTCAGGACAAAATTTTCGGGAGAGCCCTCAAAATATATTATAAATCATAAATAATTATTTAAATTATATTATAAACAAAATATTTAAATAATAATAAAATATAATAGTATGTCAACAAAAACATGATTACATATTTATAACAAATTTGACATCAATATCAATATTTTTATCTGATATAATACAATTAATCAAAATAACAAATTTTAAGTATAGGAGATGTGCAATTTAAGTTTAAAAATAAAAACTTTAAAATTTAAAAATACACACTTTCATCAAAATAAAAGTCTTGAAATTAAAAAATACATAAAAAATTGTAATTCAAATATATTTTTTAAAAGATTGATATAATTGATAAATTAATAAAACTACTAATCAAGTTTAATTATTAATATAGGTCCCATTAATTTGTTACTTGTATCTATTTTTATATAAATTATTACATTTGTTTCTAAATATAAGAGTACTTAAATACGTGTTACAAAATTTAAAATATTAGTTCTAGTATTAAATATTTTAACAATTAATATAATTTTATAAATTTATCTTTAAGAAGAAAAATCATTAATTTTTTATATGATTTTTGTTAAAAATTATATAGAGAAAAGTAATATAATTAAAATATTATTAATAAAAACAATTAATCTATATAATAATTAGAGAAAAACATAGTTATACTTTTTATATAAAGAGAGTTTTAAATTATAAAATGAAATATGGAGATATGAGTTTGTCATTGACTATATGTGAGTGTATGGCATATGGGACCAAGCTTACATTCCATGTGTATCGTAAAAGTTTTCTTTCACCGTGTATTATAGAGGTATTAACATAGTTTAATTTTTTTTCTTGATCAACATTAGTCTTAGCCATTTTATAAATGTTTTTTTTTAAATTGTGGGGTGAATGTGGCCTTTCCCTGTCCTTAGCTGGCTCGCCACTATCTTAAAATAATATTTTTGAGATTATAATTTAAATATTTCAAACAAATACGTAGATTTAAAATGTTGAACTTTAATTATAATTTAACTTTTTTGTAAAAAATAATAATAAAAAAGTTGTACATTGTTATTTAAAAAACGTTAGATATTTAATACATAATAGTTCAATAATATAAAAATATAATATGAGATAGTGTTTTAAATTAATCTAAATTTTTATCATATATAATATTGATTATCATATGAAATGCACTACTTCAAAAGTCATCTTTAATATATGAATAAATTCTCATGAAACATATAAAATTAAGTGGTTGTAACTAAATTTTTTAAAATGTGCATGAAGAATGGGGAATAATAAATTCTAATGCAATATATAAAATTAAAGTGGCTTTAACTATTAATCTTTAAACGTGCATGAAGAAGAGAATTAAAAATAGTATAAAATTAAAAAATTAAATTAAATAATAATCTATTATGGTTTTGCTAATTGCTCTTGCGATTTTCGGCGTAGAGTAACTAACTTCGTCGAGGCTTCAGCAACATTTTTCGGTTGATTCTTTGCTCTTTGTTGGCTAAAAGTCTTAACACTAAGGTTAGGGGCCACAAAGGTGTAAGCAGTTACTGTGTAAAACCTTATTTCGACTGTTTTTTTGAAGATGGGACGAGGGTGGGGACGATCGAAGGTGAAAGTATCATTGTCACCGATTCAACCAACTATAAGAAAAAATGGGTTTTTTTGAAGTTACGGCAGTTTAAACCGCCGCAAAACCTGGGTCATGACGGTTTATGTTCCACTGTAGTACCATGTATCGCCACTATGAATTGCGACAATTATAAATCTTATTTTATTTTCTATGTTTATTGCGACAGTTTCAAATTGCGTGAGTTTGATATTGTGGCATTCTAATTGTCGCAAATTATTTTATAAATTCTAACAATATATTTTGTAACCGTTTATAGTGACATTAATCATTTAATTTTTTACTTTAACAACACTATTAAACTATATTTAATTAACATTTTTATTTGTTTTTATTAATTTTTTTTTACTAATAACTTTTCATACATATTTCTTTAAATTATTATTTTTATTTTAGTAATAATTATTTATCCTTTTTCTTTAACTTTTTATTTTATTTTTTATAACTTTCTAACAAAATGAAATTGCAATCACAAATTTAAAATTTCAATTAAACATTATAATATATCAATAAAAAGTGTGACTTCCTTAATCATAATACAAGAAAAAGTACGAGTTACTTAATCATAATACAAGAAAAATGATTGATCCATAATCATTCTTGATAATAAGCATCATAATAATAGAAACTGAAATTATCAAATCTTAATCTCTAATTAGATCTTTTTGATGTTTCATTATTTTCAACTCTGTAGCTAGATTCAGAAGAACGTCTACCATCTCTAAGTGATTCTAAATATGATCCCTGAAAAAAAAAGTAAAATAATAATCATTTTCTTTAACTTTTTAAGTATGATTTACAATATTTAAAATTTCACTAGAATATATACATCTAAAAGAATATACATGTCTTCCACTAGAATTATGCATTTGCTTTAGTACAATCTCCTCCTTCATAGAATTGTCCATTTGCTTTAGTAATGCAACTTGCTCCATCAACTCATCAATTTTTTTAAGTGCAATAATTTCTTCTTATATTTCCTTTATTTTTTCATTTGCTTCATTTCCAAAGACTTTCTCAAATGCAGCTTCTAATTTCTCCTACACATGCAAAAGAAAAAGTTGAGTGACCGAATTCCTAATTCCAAATTAATTACTTAGAAATTAGTATAAATATCAATGAATTAAAGTCCTTTGTTATCTACATGTCTTTGTTATCTACATGCCATAAGTATTATTTTTATTGTTCTCCTCTTAAAATAAAACACATGTACAATTAATTACATAATGTTGTTAGGCTGTTAGGCGTCACCTTTATTTTGAGGGATGCCACACCCTATTTTGAGATACGACATTAATTCATTTAAAGTAAATTTGACATTTTTATATTTGACAATAAGAACAAGACTTATGTAGTTGCATATAAGTTTTATCATGTTTAGATTAACAAGTCTTTAGTCAAAACAAAGTTATGTTATACATTACATTCATGGATAATATCACACTATTTAAAAGGTGTCAAAAAATAGTCGTTTAGTTTTATTAAAGGAACAAATAAATATAATTTCAGACAAATTCTCCCCACCTTTTAAAAGGTGCCAAAAGATTTTATTTTTTTCTCAAACCTTAAAAGAGTCTACAAGTATCTCAAAAGAATTAAGTTACACTTATATTATTGTTGTAGACATCTTCATTGACAAATGATCCGTCAATTTTTTTATGATAAATTGTATACATTTCTCCTCTTCTATATGCCCGTCCGTCTCTTAATTCCTATAAATAAGCACAAATATTAACTATTTTTACTATTAAGCATACAATACCAATAAATAATTTAGTCATACCAACTTATTTCGCTTCCTTGCAATCGACTCAGATCCGAGTGTACGTGGAATCTTCAATTGTTTTCTATTTCTAGCATTTGTTCTTGCTATTTGCTACATTGGTATAAATTAAAAACAATAGTTAAAATACTTAGGAAGCCTCATTTCTATATTAAAAATACAATAAAAAAACATTAATATTACTTGTGTTTTTTATTCCCGTCTATATTGAACAAAAACAGCTCAATCATTTTTGAAAATACCTTTTGGAGAATTTGTAAGATTTTCCTCCAATTTAAAATCCCACTTATAATATTTAGAAAACAAACATTGAACATCTCTCCATTTCTTTCCAGTGGAAAGAAGAATCAATCTTTTGTCCTCTCCATCTTCATCAACAACAAAATGAGCCTAGCCATAAAAGTAAAAATTAGTTAATAAAATAAATACTATATAAATAATATTTAGCTGCTTATTAATGATACCTTTGTTTTTTAATTATAAAAAGTTGTTTTGTTTTCTCCTATAAGTTTCCTCCAAGTAACGAACATTGTAGAAAGGTCTTGAAACATTTTGACTAATAAACCAGTTGATGATCCTACATGAAGACCGTTTGAATTCTTATCAATCACTATCCTTGTTCCAACAGCAAATTTTCAAAAATGTACTTGATTGGATCAATTTTGGAGATCAACCAAGTAGTGTGATTCAACATATACTGCCGCAAATGTTTTGCTGCTCAGGCTAGAGCACAACATGTCTTTTCCAGCATAGAATACTGCGACTCACAATCAATAAAATATTTACTGAGATAATAAATGGCATACTCTTTCTTCCCTGTTTCATCTCATTGTCCCAGAATACAACCTATGGATTTATCTAACACTGTCAGTTACATAATCAACGATCTTCCTTTGACAGGAGGGAGCAAGATAGGAGGTTCAAGTAGATATTCTTTAATACTTTCAAATGCCCTTTGGCATTCATCCATACATAACCTTGATCTTTCTTTAACAACTTAAAGATCGGTTCACACGTTGCAGTCATGTGGGAAATGAATCTGGAAATATAATTCAAACGCCCGAGGAACCCTCTGACTTGTTTTTCAGTTCTCGGTGCTGGCATCTATTGAATTAATTTGACTTTATCAGGGTCAACTTCAATTCCTTTTTGGCTAATAATGAAACCCAACAATTTTCCTGATCGAACACCGAAGGTGCATTTATTTGGATTCAAGCGGAGACCATACTTCCTCAAATGTTGAAACAACTTCAACAAATCTTCTACATGCCCTTCTTTCATCTGGGATTTAGCAATCATATCATCAACATATACCTCGATTTCCTTGTGCATCAGATCATGGAATAGGGTTGTCATAGCCCTCTTGTACATTGCACCAACGTTCTTTAACCCGAAGGGCATCACTCTATAACAGAATGTTCCCCAGAGTGTGATGAACATTGTTTTTTCCATGTCCTCTGGAGCCATTCTTATTTGATTAGAACCGGAAAATCCATCCATGAACGATAAAACTTTGAATTTTGCTGCGCTATCCACTAACATATCAATGTGTGGCAATGGAAAATCATCTTTTGGACTAACTTTATTTAGATATCTGTAATCTACGCACATTCAGACTTTTCCATCTTTTTTTGGTACTGGGACAATATTGGCAATCCATTGAGGATACACTGACGTCATAAGAAAATCAACATTAATCTGCTTTAGAACTTTCTCTTTGATCTTTACTGACATATTTGGGTGAGTTCTTCTCAACTTCGGTTTGATTGGTGGACACTCTGGTTTCAACGGTAAATGGTGCTCCACAATATCTGTATCTAGACCAGGCATATCTTGGTAAGACCAAGCAAAAATATCCACATACTCTTTCAATAGCTCAATCAACCTACTCTTCACATCAGGATGCAACAATGCTCCAATCTTGACTTCTTTCGGATCTTCTTATGAACCCAAATTGATCACTTCCAATGGCTCTTTATATGGCTGAATGGCATTTTCCTCGTGCTCAAGCAACCATGAGACCTCTTCTGGAATCTCATCATAGTCTTTTTCTTTGGCCCCATACACAGGACATTCAAAGTTGGGAGAGGGTGTAGGGTCATTGTATTCAACAGGTTTTTTAATTAATCTGCACATGTGATTTATGATTGCTTTTAGAAACTGACACATGTAACAAGTGATCATGCAGATTGAATTTCAGTTATTATTTATTTTGAAATGTTTTTTCTGATTACCATTTTCCAAGAAAAAGTAGAAAATAAAGACACAATTTGGGAAACAAAGACAACTTTTATTATTGATTTTAAAAGTCACAGAAAACAGATAAGCCCTACAACATTAATACTTCCACCTTGGGCTGAGTGAAAGCTTTTCAAAAAGATTAACAAAAAAAATTACTTTAAAACATGTATGCAAGAGGGAACATCAATGGTGATCCAGTTCTGAACCCTAACTCAATGCGTCACATAATTCAGCATTTCCTGCTCCGCTTCATCTTCCACAATGGAATTAATCCCGGAAACAGTTGGATGAAGATAATCCCTGCTACGGAAGATGTCTTGATACTTGCCTGCAGCAGACTTCAGCTTCATGCTCTTACCTTTGTCATTTTTCAAAGAGAACCCCAAGCCGACTCTGTTCTTGTTTACAGGTGGATCCACAATTTATCCCCATACCTCGCTATGACCCTTTTGTACAACTTGTTGCGCATCCTTAAGTGAATACATAGAATTCTCATTTCCTCTTATGTTGTCAATGGATAAGGCTTGTAACCGGGTTCCAACAACAGCTTCATCCGCCTCCAAAATGCTGAAAGAGGACAAATGAGATATCAATAATGCCTGTTCCCCATTTATGATTACTACTTTCCCTTCACGTACACATTTTCAGTTTCTGGTGTAAAATTGAAGTGACAGCCCCTGCCTCATTAATCCACGGTCGTCCCAACAAATAGCTATAAGCGGGAACGATGTCCATGACCTGGAAATTTATTGGAAACAAATATGGTCGTATATGAATAGGCAAGTTCACTTCACCAATAACAGATTTCCTTGATCCATCAAACGCTTTCACAATGATTCTACTCGGGCGCGTAGGCGTTCCTTGATATTTCAACTTCATAAGAGTGCTCCTCGATATAACGTTCAAAGCGGATCCATTATCAATCAGCACATTGGATAGTGAATCATTCTTACAATTCATGGAGATGTAGAGGGCCAGGTTGTGATTCCTTCCTTCATCGGGAAATTCATCATCGCAGAAACTCAAGTTATTACATTACGTAATGTTCCCTATTACGCTGCTGAATTTGTCTATTGGCATATCACTCTCCACAAAAGCTTGGTCCAATACTCTCATCAAGGATTCTCTATGAACAGATGAGTTCATCAATAAAGCCAACATAGATATTTTTGAAGGAGTCTGCAGTAGCTGATCTACAATTCTGTAGTCGCTCATCTTGATTATCTTTAAAATATCATTCACTTCTTTCTCTAACGTAGCCCCACTAGTCTCACCCATATCCTTCTTGGGTTCAACCTTCTCAGTAATTTTCTTTCCAGCACTAACATCTCATCGAACAACTGGTGCAAACACATGACCGTTGCGGATCACCCTACTATTCTAAGCAATATTTCCAACATCAGGCATTGGCTGGATGGGAATTTCCACTCCATCCTCTAAGATTGTAGCGTTATATTTGTAGGGCACAGCCTTATCTGACTTGTAGGGAACGGGCCCCGACAAACTAATCACCAATGGGGTAAAGCTGGCTTGCTATAACATTCAACTTCAAGATGGACGGGTGCCCCAAAACAACGTACAATGACGTTTACCCCTTCTTCAACACAATCAGTCATTATTGAGTCATCTCTAGAAAACAAATCCTCATCTGAGGAGAAATACTCATCTGCAGAGGCGTACCCTTCATTTGACTCTTCTTCAGTCAAACAAACCTTAACAATATAAACTTCATGGTAATCATCCCTTTGACCTGTAACCTTGATAGTTCCATTATCTAACAACAACTGAACACCTTTCTTCACGATTTAACATCCTCGGGAGTCCCGACAGCAAATTCGGCAAGATCCATACTGGTGTTCTACCTGACCAGCCATGTGGCAGAAAGTAAGATGCAATTATACAAGGTCCTCATTCATATACTCTACACCAAAAATTCTGAATTCTCCAGGACATCCAAAAACCATATTCACCTCCTCTTCATACTCTGTCCTAGGCCTGATTATGTGGATAAGGCCCTCTTCCATCATCTCCTGCAAATCAACCTTTATCTTATCGCAACCATGTATGTCTGTACTGCAAATAGCACAACCGAAATGGTTATGCGTATAGTAGCTAAATTCACAAAGGTATGCATGCATTTTCACCAAATCTACTCTAACCAGATTAATATCAAAAATCCAGAAGTCGCCTGGACATCTGGCCACCATATTCACAACATTTACTCCTCCATACATGGGTAAAGGATTGTCTTTCACATTAGGGCCACCATATTCACAACATTTACTCCTCCATACATGGATATTTCAAGATCTCGAAGTTGTAAAAACTTCAAACGACCCTCCGATGATGGTTTTGGAGATGATGAAGAAGATGTGTTAAAGGATTGAGAGAGTTGAGTCAGATTGAGAGCCTTAAACTTTTTTTATTCTCTTTTATTATTTTACAGCGAATATCTTCATATATATTCATTGTTTTACAAGAGACTTAAACTGCAAGTATATATATGATAAACAAGTCAGTATATATAAGTATTAAACATTAATTCAAAATAGAATTGCACATAATGGTTTTCTTTCCTAAATTACCCTTAACGTGTTACAATTATTTCCAAAATAATAAGTAAACTTAATTCAAAACAATATGCTCCTACCAGAGAGAAACTCTCCTAACAAACTCACCACACCACTATCATAACATTCTCTAACAAAAAAGGGAAATACTCCACGTTGACCAAGTCACAAACTATTTCTCATCCTCTCCCTAGGGTCAAACTTCATATAGAATACATACCTAGGTATCCTTTCATGGTATACCATTGAGGGTTTAGGCTCGCAGTATAACAGTTTTATATGTTGCTGAATCCGCAGCGCAACCATGTGGAAATGCAGTTTTATATCAGCTGCATTTAAATGTGAATCTCCACAATATCAAGGATCATGACATGACCGTGACTGTTACCACAACGGCCAATTAAAATCCTCTAAGTGACTACCAGCTATGCTGCTATAACATTTTAAAAATCGGCCGCTAATTGACTACATGGGACTCAAAGAGTGTGGTTCAAATTTGGAACCAA